AGAGAGAGAGAGAGAGCGAGAAAGAGAAAGAGAGTGAGCGTGAGAAACATGGTAAGGGGAAGAAAGTGAGAGAGGAAGAAAGAAAACTATCTATCCATCTGTTGATTTTTCTATCATTGCGATCGTGACAATGAGACGTTCATCGTAAGTTCATTTCTACGTCATTTCAACGTCATTTCTTACGTTATTTTATATCTACGTGCCTTTGTACATAACGCTCGTCCGTTTTAATACATATTTACATCAAGATAATAATTAAATTAACTCAGATATTATTAATTAACTCAGATATTATTAATTAACTCAGATATTATTAATTAACTCAGACATTATTAATTAACTCAGATATTAATAATTAACTCCACGGAAACATCTGCACATCATGTATTCTGCTCATCAAGTACCGATCTCTCCCCGCGGTCCGCATCCCCCACAAGAGGGCGCTACCTGTATGTTTCAGAGGGCAGCACTCCGCTGGCGAGTAGGTGCACCTCGGTGGCGGCCATGTTCCAGCAGTGCTGTATCGCCGGAAGTACGACGCCATGACGGTTCATCCGACATTCGTAGCTGCGACAAACACAAGAACGTCCATCGTTAACTGATAGCGCATGCAGGGGTTTTCGTCTGGGATCAAGTTCTTTCGCAAGATGTCACCTGTCTAGTATATAGAAGGCATACAACAGTAAGCCTCCGCAAATTGTTCACCGGTGCACTATTTCGTCTCTAGAAAAGGCCTTTTTTGGCTCTTTTTTTCGCCGAAATTCGTCACTAGAGTGCAATAATTTGCATTATGCACGCAAGTTAGATGCCTCGTGGACGTCTAGAAAGCATTAGAAGTAAAATTGGTCTTGCCGTAACATTCCGCCATGTGGCATAGCCACGGTGACCGGTTGGTCATTTTTGTGTTTGAAATGTGTTCAGACTACTTTGCAGAAATTCGCATCATAGAGCTGGCAAAAGTTTCGAGCGAAGCATAGAGCATGAATCTGTAGTTATTTAACATGAATAAAGTGTATGTTGTGTATGCAAAGTAACAGTGTGAGTATTTTTAATTAATTTCTCTTCGATGCTTATTCAGGCCTGCTGCCTATGGACGCCTTCTACTGTTGTTCACCACCTATAGAGATCGGTGATGGTAACCCATAACCAGCACGATGACGTCACCTTATGTGGCTGTTCACTTGTTTCTGGAAGGTGGTGCCGACAACGCTGACAGTGAAGCAGCGCAGCAGGTAGTCGGCCGGACATCCGGGAGGCAGCGTCCATTCTATGAGCATCGTATTGTTGCTGTGATGAGATACGGTGATCTGAGGTATGTGCAGGCCTTACTTACACCGGGAGAGAGAGAGAGAGGACAGTGAGAAGAAGAGAAAAGAGAGAGAGCAGAGCAGAGCAGAGAGGAGGAGACCATAGAGAGATCAGAAGAGAGACGAGAGAAGACGCGGAGACCGATGAGTGAGCGATACGGGTGATCTGAAGAAAGAAAATGTGCAGAACTTCACTTCTACCGGAGAAAGAG